GAAAGTTAATAGTAGAAATGCGAGAAATAAAAACCAACTCATAAGTATCGCCATCCCGTGCTCAGTATCAGGTGCAGACTAAGGAATTTGTTACGAAATTGAAAAGTTCAAACATACGATGTATAATCAAGTACAAATAAAATCGTACATTTCTTGTAAAACTTTTAACATCAAGTTGAACCTTAAATGATTTTAAAGACCAATGTGCCATGTCAGCTTAAAGTGTCAAGAGGAATTTTATTTTATGTAATTGAAGATAAATCGGAAGACTCTTTCCGTATCTCTGCAAATGGTTCTCCGAGAATCATTTCAATTGCATCGTTAGTCATCAATGTCCCTCTGTGTCAGTACATGTATACACTGTGCAGTGAACATACTTGTATTAAGAACGACTAAATAATATATAAATAAATGATAATTAAATAAAATTAACACTAACTGAATTGACAAAATCACTTTTTATTTAAATTGTTATACAGTGTTTACATAAATACGAATATGTACTGCATTTTTTATCAATGAGAGCGACGTTCCATAATTGTATAAAACATGTTTTATAGAGAATAAAATTATATCATAAGACAAATGATAATTTAATGATAATTAAAGGGGGACCTTTCCTCAAATTTCTGTTGTGTTAGGCTCTATAATGAATCAACAGTTATTCATTATGTGAAAGATTATTCCTTAAATACACAAGTTTTAAAACTCAATGGAGAATTGTGATCAGCAGAAATACAAGTACTTGTAAGAGAAAAGCTCCTCAAATACCCGATATAATAAACTGTTTTAGGAATCAACCGGTTTTTTAAATGTGTCATATGTAAACAATCTAAAGAAAATGTGACTTTGAGAGAGAAAAATTCCTTAAATATAATACTTTTTTCTAACACTCAAGGAGTATCTCAAGGGCCACATCGTTTATCTGAGCACATGGGCTACTTAAAAAAACAAAAATCAGTTCATAATTGAAAAGTTTACATGTTAGGGGAGGGGAAGGGATAAAATTGTCTATTACTTGAGAATGTCACAATATCTATAAATTATACATGTATACCTTTGCCATGCTTGAAAAGAAGATTTTTTTAAAGATTTCTCTTACCAACATATATTACTTAATCTCCCCATGTGACCCCTCAATACCTCCCTCCTCCTGGACATGATATGAATAAGTTTAAATCTTCACTACTTGCAGATTCGTACATATCAATTTGACTAAAAAAATATTTTCTGTTCCAAAAAACAAAGATTTTTTCCTATATATTAAAATGCAAAACTTTGATCCCTCATTGTCGCCACAACGTAACCCTGGGGGTCATAATTTTAATAAGCCTGAATCGAAACCAACAGAGGATGCTTCCATTAGTTCCATATAAAAAATACTTTTCGAAGATTTTGTGTTCTCAAAATTTTTTTTTGAAAATATTTACATTTTCTATGTGGAATTTGATCCCACATTGTGTCCCCACCTTTCTCCCATAGAATTCTGATTTAAACAATCTTGAAACTAAACTACCTGAGGATGCTTCCATTTAATATCACCAATCATGTCATGGCTTTGCTGTTCTTGGGAAGAAGATTTTTTTTTTATGTTTCAGTATTTTACTATGTAAAGCTTTGAATGCCAATTATGGCTCTACCCTATTCCCAGGGGTTATTGTATGAAAAAAAATTGAATTAACTATAACTTAGGATGTTTCCATTTATAAATTTCACCAATGATGACTTCATGACTTCATCACCAATCTGATCTTGAGAAGAAGATTTTAAAAAGATTTTTCCGACTTATTCCTATGTAAAATTTGATCAGCCATTGTGGCCCGCCCTTCACCAGCGGATTAATATTTGAACAAATTTGAGTCTACACTACCTGAGAATGCCTTCCAGTGAGTTTCATCTTTCCTGGCCAAATAGTTCTGGAGAAGAACATTAAAAAAATTCGTTTATATTCCTGTGTGAAACTTTGATCAGCCATTGTGGCCCCATTCTATCCCCAGGTGTCAGGATTTGAAGAAACTTGAATCTACACTACTTGGGGATACTTCCACATGAGGATTATTATTCCTGGCCCCATTGTTCCGGAGAAGAAATTTTTAAAAGATTTCTCCTAAATATTCTTATGTAAACTTTGATCAGCCATTATGGCCCCGCCCAACCTCAGTGGATCGTGATTTGAACAAATTTGAATCTACACTACCTGAGATTGCCTCCCCATGCGTTAAATCTTTCCTGGCCCAGTAGTTCTCGAGGAGATTTTTAAAGATGCCATTATTTTTTCACTTATTAATAATTATCTTCCCTTGGAAGAGGGCGTGGCCTTTCATTTGAACAAACTTGAATCCCCTTCACCCAAGGATATTTTGTTGCAAGATTGGTTGAAATCGGCCCAGTGGTGGTAGAGAAGATGAAAATGTGAAAAGTTTACAACGACGCCAATAACAAGGACAACAACAACAACAACGACGACAGACGACGGACAACGGACAAACTTTGATCAGAAAAGCTCACTTGGGCCTTTGGGTTTGCTAGAATCATGTAAGAACATTCTCCAAATGATTCTCTTCATAAGGGATTTCAAAAAGGGAACATGAGAGATGGATGTTTTTCAAATTCCTGATGACACCAAAAAGATTCTAAAGATAGAGTTTATATTAACTGATCTCTTTGTACATGTATATTGTTTGTATATAGTTTTACGCCCCATTCGAGAATGTTTCACTCATATAGAGACAACAAAATATACCGCCAATAGACTTAAGATTTAGACCATTAATAGACTTCACACGGAACTTTAGTTTCCCAACTTCTCGTCAAAATGACGTTTCTTTCATTTCTAGTGGAGGATGCTTGACAAATGAACAATCACTACCTAGCGGCGGGAAAGAGAATCAAATCCAGTATCTCCCAATCACGAATTGAATGAAATACCACAAGACCTTAGCGACGGCTAAGTAAAACCAGAAGTCTCTGTCGAGACTGAAGCTCTACTGGTTTGTACTTATAGCAAAGGAAGAGAAAAGTACTGTAGACGTCTTTAATTTCACGTGTCTAAAATTTCACGGTTTGTTAGAAAGTTACCTTTCACGGTGGTTTTAATTTCACGGTGAACCTTTTATAAATATTCAGGTGCTATGCCTGTTTTTAGCTAGAAATGAAGTGAAATAATAATCACGATGGTTTAAAGTTCGCGGAAAATTCTTAAATCGTGAACATAGTGAAATTAAAAACACCGTAATGTATTCCACTTCTACAGTACTTAAGCAGTTAGAAATTGAAACTTTTCAACAGCAATAAATAGAATAATGATCCTTGATTAAGTCTCTTTATGTTCTTAGTGTAGTCTACTTGCATGCCACATTATATATAACCAGACTAAAACTGTTATTTGGAGTAGCATTTTGAGAGTATTTAACAGAAATTTCTATTTTTAGTAACCAAGGCAACACCGTTTATCGAAATCAAAAACCGATACACAGAATTATGTATCTTAGTGTAGTCTACTTGTGTGACAAGTTATATTGAAATCAGACCAAAACTGTAGGAGGAGTAGCATTTTGAAAGAATTTCACAGAAATTTCTATTTTTAGTAACCACGGCAACACCGTTCATCAAAATCAGAAACCGGTATACAGAATTATGTATCTTAGTGTAGTCTACTTGTGTGCCAAGTTATATTGAAATCAGACCAAAACTGTAGGAGGAGTAGCATTTTGAAAGAATTTCACAGAAATTTCTATTTTTAGTAACCACGGCAACACCGTTCATCAAAATCAAAAACCGATACACAGAATTATGTATCTTAGTGTAGTCTACTTGTGTGACAAGTTATATTGAAATCAGACCAAAACTGTAGGAGGAGTAGCATTTTGAAAGAATTTCACAGAAATTTCTATTTCTGGTAACCACGGCAACACCGTTCAGTGAAATCAAAAACCGATACACAGAATTATGTATCTTAGTGTAGTCTACTTGTGTGCCAAGTTATATTGAAATCAGACTAAAACTGTAGGAGGAGTAGCATTTTGAAAGAATTTCACAGAAATTTCTATTTTTAGTAACCACGGCAACACCGTTCATCAAAATCAAAAACCGATACACAGAATTATGTATCTTAGTGTAGTCTACATATGTGCCACGTTATATTGAAATCAGACCAAAACTGTAGGAGGAGTAGCATTTTGAAAAATTGTTTACAGACAGACAGACGGACAGACAGACAGACAGACGGACGGACGACGGACGCATTACCATCGCATAAGCTCTTCTGGTCTCTGACCAGTAGAGCTAAAAACAGGAACGACTTTCAAATGCTTAGAATATCACCAAAAAGCGATTTTGTGGTCCGTTTAAACCACTCAAAAGCGAAATGAATACTGTTTATATGGAAAGAAAAAGTCTTTACATGAAAAAGATAAGCGGCTTTAATTTCCTTTAAAGGAATTTTGCTCTGAATTAAATTCAATCCATACAAAACATGACAGTAGTGTAACAAATTCGCTCCTCTTCATCATTTTTTTTTTATTCTTCGAAAATGGGAAAATGACATTTGAGCCTTTCATATAGTACATTTATATATATTCTTTTCACTGATTTTTTTAGTTCTGTTATTTTCAGTATATCTTGGCTGTTTGTTAGATTTCTGCATTTTGTGTTCAGAAAAGTTTTGCCTGTCTTAACTTATCATACTGGTATCCCCATTATTTAAACGATTATTGCTCCTAAAAGACATTTTCCTAAAATATCGTTAGTATTTTCAGAATAAGTTCCCTAAAAGATCGGAATCAGAAGGATAAAAAGCTCTCTTAAATTGAAAATTGTTTGAGCTGAAGAATATAAAATGAATATGTATTCATTCTGCTTAAGCTACTAGCAATGTGTCATATTCCAACATAAATTCTGATTGTCATTAAATTTTCAAAATCATTTAACTTAGGTTAACATGCGAAAGGTTAACAAAAAAAATATGCACAATATAATGTTTTATGTCATTATCTTATTATAAGGTCGCATCACTATAATTTAAGATTTTGTCTACTTAAAATGATGTATTTATAAAAAAAATGAAATGGTTTAAAATTCATATTATACAAGCACAAGCAACTATTCATGAAAAAACAAGAAAACAGTTAAAATGGAAAACTGCGTTACTCTATAGTTTAACTTTGCGTTTTCTCCATTTTTGCCTCTTTGGAGTCAAAGTTTGTATCAGGAATATGAATATTTACAATTGTCGACTTTTTTATTCCTTTATCTATCACTTTGTTGTCCCTGAAAGAAAATATTAAAAAATTAAGTTAAATTTAACAAAATACTACGATCTTAAAAAATTATATATGTTTATAACCATTCCCTTGAATTTAAAACTTACTTTTTATTTTTCCTGATGACGACTACAATTATTGTTACAGAACCTGAACCCAGTAATCCAGAAAAGGTGCCAATCCATATAAAAACTTCTGGATCATTTTCATCTAAAGATCAATATATTAAATTATACAAAGGTTGTGAAAATGAAAGATCAAAACTGTCTTTAAAATTTATAATAAAAAGTCGAGTCCCATTGTCGCAACTGTTCTTAAATTCTTTTTGACTATTTGTTATTCATCAACAGAATTTCATTTTTAAATTTGCATCTTTAATTCCAAATTATAAGATTACTCCATATTGCGGACCAAAATTTATGAAACTAATCAACATATATTCAGCATGTTGTTTGGGAGACATTTTTTTTCCTGCAAGCATTAAGAAAAATTGGGATCCTTGATGTTAGCACGAATTCTTACAAAAATCCGGTTCTCATGACAATAAACATCATTCAACACCAGTTATGTATGTATGGCTTCTTACATGTTATTTAAAATCAGTATGATTTTGTCATTCTTAAAAAAATCTCCCCTTTTGAAACTCTTATCCCCTACTAAACCTATTCACGACGTCCCTTACATGCGCAAACGTGCTTCTAAGCTTCCCAATGATTAGCTGTAATTAGAGATGAAATTCTAGAATTTTTTTTAAATTCCTATATAGAATACTGGTCTCATGTAGAGATCTAATCCAATCCAACCCATGAATGTCAATGAATAATTTAAAAATTACACAATGTATTTAAGCTTTTCGATGAGTTTAATCATTCTGACTCAATGGTTCCTTACAAGATGTCAGAAAATTTTAAATACTCTTGTTTATTCTTTAAAAATGGTTTGACTCTATTTTGAAAAAAGGTACTTCGTGACAAGTTTGGTTGACATTTATCCAGTGGTTCTTGCAAAGAAGTCGAAAATATGAAAAAAAATTCAATAGATGGACGATTGGACTGACAGACATAAACAGGACAAAATGTAATCAAATAACGTCACCTTAACATTCAAAATAGAAAGGCATTGAAAGGTTTACAAGAATATTTATGATTTACTGATTGATTGTATGATGATTCTCGTACTATTAAAGAAATCTTTACTCAAAAATGGACGTCACTATCTACCGGTGAATGACTTCAATTGGACTTATTTTTAGCACCCATGGCCACTGAGCATTGAAACGTTTATAACCTACACCTACCGTTACAAAGGACCTCAGATTTTAAGGTCTCATCAGAAAGATCTGCAACTTTCGCTTTAAAGTCTTGAACATTTGAGGAAAGAATAGTTGCTACCTTTGTTATCCACTTGGTTCATTTTTTAAACAGGAAATTTGCGATATAGGAGAGAGGGCGCTTTAAAGACTGATCCTTTGTCACTGTTTATATGACGGGACACCGCTTTTTAAAATATCATTGAAAAGACGTTTGACTTTCATTTCTTATGCCGGGAACTTGACAAAGGAATATCACTATATAACTATGTCTACATTTAAGGTTATAAGCGGCGTGGCGAACAAAAATCGAAGCCTGCCCCCCCCCCCCTGCCCCCTCCATCAGGATGCGAATGCCTTACCATTTAACTATCGTTACCGGTGTTAAACTATAGAATGAAAGCTTTTAGATACATACTATCATCTTCTTTTCTGTAATGTCTTGTTGTTTGATTTGTCAAACCTGTAATGGTTCCCACCATAGATGTAGTAATTGATTCAGGAGGAGCTTCACAAGTTCCGTTTTCGCCTTTCAAAATAAAGCAATGCATTTTCCTGAAAATGCGTTTGTTTGCATTTGTATGCTATTTTCAAAATCAAGTTTGAAGTCTATCGTAGATTACCAAAGCAGTATCTCTCTGTACATCCACCAGGAGGTATAAGACAATATGCCATAAACGATGTGCAGTTCTTAATCTTTATGCCGTATGTTTTCACACAACAATCTCCAAATCCTCGCTTACAAACTGTTCGATCCACAATTCCATCACTGACGCTTGGTAGGGACTCTGTAAACATTTACATCTAATCACAAGCACTTCTTTACGAAATTAGACGTTATTGATAAAAAAACATGAGGTTTACCTTTCGAAATATTATTTTAGTAAGTATTGTATAATTACGTTGTATAATCATACTTTAAATTACATGTATATATGAAATAAATAAAACAATCCCCTTGATAAATAATTTTTTTATATCATTAACTTAACGATGACTAAATCTCCTTAAATGCAGGTTGTAGGAATAATTTTTTTCTTCGATAGAGTTTTTTAGTTTTTATGTTTAAAAACAAAGAAAACAGTCATAAATAAAAAGAAAACAGTCATAAATTAAAAAAAGAGACCATCACTTATCCGAGGACTTTAACATTCGAGGAAAGCAGAAATCAGAAAGGCACCGAGATGAGGTTCCCCCGGGTGGGTGGGGGGAGTTTGTATAATTTGTACAAATTTGAATGGACTCAAACTGAAGAGGCTTTAATGAATTATTATTGCCTGACGTCACGGCGTCAGGAACTACTTAGGATCGATATTTCCTAGGTGCAAAGCTAAGAGGTCACAGTTAGCCATCAAAATATTTTGCATGCTGATTATCATCGGATTTTATTACCTGCGTTTCAACAACAATAGTTAGCAGAAAAGTAACCATATTACTGATACAATATATTTATGCATTTTTTTCCTTAATTTTTTTGCTTGCAGCTACTTATTTCATGCGAGTTCCTATACGGACATGAAATAAGTATTGACCTTTTCTCTGCATTTATATTCTACTGGATTAGTCCATTTGTCTTCTAGGTAAGGGGTGACACAATCATTTTGCGCCAAAATGTCACGTGTGAATTTGGCGCCCTTTTCCTGGACTATTCTATTGAATGGAAATGAAAATTGCATGAGTTATATTAAATCTGTTCTTTTTTGTCGGAATCTTGATCGAGCTTTGGAAAAAAAAAGATATCGGTGATATTGTGAAGGGAGTTAAAAGTTACAGCATTTAAAGTAATAAAACCGAAACCAAAAAAACGTTTTAAGAGGATGAACTGGCAAACTATGCATCCGATGCCCCCCCCCCCCTCCTCTCCATGGGCCTTCTTTCTACAAAAAAATACAACTGTTTATAACTTATCAAGCTTATAGACTCTATGGATATTGATGATATTAGTCAGGCAAGCTTTTTGAAAGGCTGTTATTTGTAACTACATATAGCTTTGAAAGATTTTTAGAGATTTTTTCCTATGTACTTATAATTTGGCTATGTTAAGAAAGGCCTGAGGTCACTTACACAGTGTACCTTATGGGAAGTCAATTGTGATCTCATCAAAATTTTAACAAGTGACAAAAATCATTTAAACCAATTGATGTTGCCTATACAAAACATGATGATAAATACCGTTTCCATATGGCTGAAACACTACTGAAACCCTGTGGAAACTTAAGCTTACTAAAAGTTGTCGGAAAGTTTCAGTACTGAAACTTCAAGTTTCATCAAGTTTCTGCAGTGCAGAAACCGAAGGTGTGCATGTATCCAAATTATTTCAACAACTGAAACAAACTTATCTTCACGTATACGGAAGGTTTCAATCTGCGTATAAGGTTGAAATACTAATGGTGTACCATAGGTTTCAGCAACAGAATCTTGATGTACAAAACCTGAGGTATATGCAAGGTTTCAGTATGAATTAACAAATGATAAAGATATTGTGTTTTTCCGCAATGAAAACTGTAGTATCTGTAAATTCAGAATCTAGAATCTGTACCTAGAAACTGTAGAAATCAATTTTTACATCATTAATTTTAAAAATAACATTAAATAACAACATATGATAGCAATACTTCCGAGTAAAGACAAAAAAAATCTCTTGTCACAAATGACGTTACTAGCCTTGACATTACGTTGTACAAGTGACCCAGGATAGATTTACTAGTAAAAAGAATTTCAAAAATGCATGTAAGCAACATACAGTGTAACTGAGAAGTAAAAATTTCATCTTCTATTGTGACTCGCCTTTCGCTGTGGGCCATAAATAATTTGAAAGTAATAAGCTTGAATCTACATTATCTGATGATGCTTCCATATCATTATACATAATCATGTTCTTATTGCTTTTGCTTTCATATATTATTCATAATTAAAACTTTGATCGTCTATTGTGGACCTCTTTTATACCACGACCCGGGGGCGGGGGGGGGGGGGGGGCATTATTTGAACGAATTTGAATATGAGTATACCTCAATATAAAAATATGTTTGACTAATCATTGCTTTATTGTTTTGGGGAGAAAATATCTTGAGATTCTTCTCATATATTTCTATGTGAAACTTTGATTACCGATTGTGAACCCCATCCATTCGGACCATTCCCCATTGGTCAAATAAAATATATGAACAAACTTGATTCTGACCTGCAGAAAAAAATGTCATTTACAATCCTCCTCAAAATGATAAATTATATTAATATACATGTATCCCAAGCCAGTACTAAATTCAAATTGCTTTTAAATAATGGCCACTCAGGAAAGTGTTAGGCCACAAAGGAAGGTCAGTTTTACATGAATATGTAAAGTGGTCAATATAAAAGAATAAGGCGGTGTAACGTTGAATTTTGACCCGGGTTGAAAATTGACCCGGGGGTCATTTTTCAACGTTGAATATTGATACCGAAGGTGTTGAATTTAGACCCTAATCCGTTGAAAACTGAGCCGGGTCGTGGAATTTTGATCATGAAACCGGTTCAAAATTCAACAGCATAAAAACACATATTTATGATTGGGTTTTAACTACTGTGAATAAATTCATAGGTATGAGGCCCCGTTTTGGTATTTACTGCAAGAAGTAGTATCCCCTATTTGAATAAGTGATATCACCTGTTTCAATAGATGATATCACTTATTTGATTTGAATTTGTGATATCACCAATTCGAAAAGGTGATATCACTTATTCAATTGGGTGATATCACCTTTTCCCGTCGAACAGCTGTAGTTTTTATGCCCCCGTAAACGAAGTTTCGGGGGTATATAGTTTTTGTCGTGTCTGTCTGTCTCTCTGTTTGTCTGTTTGTCCGCAAAAACTTTAACCTTGCCCATAACTTTTGATTTAGTAGAGCTTTGACTTTCATATTTCATATGTGTATTCCTTGTGAAAAGACCTTTCTTTGGGTACCACAAATTTTGACCTTTTGACCTTGACCTTGGAGTTTGACCCACTTTTACTTGAAAATTTTGAAATATTACTTTGGCCATATCTTTTGAACAGTAGACACCAGGACATTTATACTTCAAATATGTAATGTTTGTTAAAAGACCTTTCACTGGATACCAACAACCTTGACCCTTTGACCTTGACCTTGTAGATTTCAGTACTTGAGAAAAAACTTTAACCTTGGCCATAAATTTTGACCGGTAAGGCATAGGGCTTTCATACTTCATATATGTAATCCTTGTGAGAAGATTCTTCATTGGATACCAAGAACTTTGACCCTTTGACCTTGACCTTTGAGATTGACCTACTTAAATAAAGTAATCCTAAAATTTTAAAGATTTAGGGCTAGTGTTTTCATACTTTACATATTTGATCCTTATGACAAGATCTTTCATTTGATAACAATAACTTTGACCCTTTGACCTTTTGAAAAAACTTTAACCTTGGCCATAACTTTTGAACGGTAAATAAGGGATAGGGCTTTCAAACTTCATATATGTAATCCTTGTGAAAAGATCCTTCATTGGATACCAAGAACTTTGACCCTTTGACCTTGACCTTTGAGATTGACCTACTTTAAAAAAGCAAACCTTGACCATAAATTTTAGAGAGTTAGGGCTAGTGCTTTCATACTTTACATTTTTTATCCTTATGACAAGATCTTTCATTTGATAACAATAACTCTGACCTTGATCTTGGAGTTTGACCTACTTTTTAAAAAATTGAACGCTGACCATAACTTCTGAACGGTTAGGGATAGGACTTTCATGCTCTACATAAGTATTTTTAACATTAGCTTACTTTCAAATTTCACAATTGTTTTTCTAGTGCGAATACCCAAAGTTTGGTACCAATTAATTAAATTAGAATTTAAGAAATGCCTAATCTTTGCTATGTTGCCATACGGGGGCATAAGTGTTTTACAAACACATCTTGTTTTTTTTTTGCTTACAAATTAATTTATTTCACTTATATATCATGTATACAACAAAAAAATCGAAGAAAATGTATGAAACTGGGTAGTCCGAATTTTCTTGGTTCCAGTGTAGTATAATATATATTATAGGGAGCATTCATTAATGACTGTTGTAAGAAACTCAAATAGGTAATATCACCTTTTCGAATAGGTGATACCACTTATTCAAATAGGTGATAGCATCTATTTAGCACGGAAAGGTGATATCACCTTTAATTCTAAGCTCTCTGATTGGCTCAAACTTGATCACATGATTAAGATAATACAGAGAATGACTTGATTTCTGAAAAAATTACTACATTTTGTATTAATATCTTTTAATGTTCCGTAATTGGTGAGATGTATCAATGACTTTAAGTCTTAATTAGAATCAACATGTACTTTATATTAAGACATATTGGATATCTTTATCAAAAATTGATACAAGACATAATCAATTAAATAAATTTGTATTCTGAATAACTAAATCCTCTATATTTACTCCATCAATGTATAAAACGAAACACATTTATTCAATATTAAATAGCAACAGCTTAATTTATGCTGATCTCTAGTCTCTAAGTCTTGAAGAGAGAAAACTTCTGCCTTATTTCCAATATTTTGAAATTTTGTTTTGTCAATCTATGTGATAAAATGATTTATATTCGATAATAATGTTAAAATTTACATTCCTAATTAATTGAGTTTACAACTAATTCTAGTTTAATTTGTCATATTTCCCAGAATGCAATCATGGCAATTATTGAAAAAGAATTAAAAAACATCGCATAGGAGATCATAGAGATAAAATTATGTTATAAGGTGAGAAGTGTAACGAATTCTATTTTTTTT